GTCTGACATCATAGCGAGAGACATAGGTAACGAGGACACGATCTACACGAAGTTCCACTCTCTGCAGTACGCTCTCTACTCCACCGCTTTCATCGCCGTCCTGGGCGGCGGATTCTTCCTCGCCTGCTCCCTCTACGTCGTCCAAGATCGCGCCAAGGTCGACGCCATCTTGAAAGGTAGCGCGGGGGAGGGGTCGGGGGTCGTGGAGGGGTTGGGGGTCGCGTTGGAAGAGGTCGGGCGGCGGGCGGTGGTGCCGCGCGATGGCGTGTGAGGGTGTGGGGGAGAGATGGTGTGGTGTCTGACAGTGTGGGGGAGAGATGGTATCGTATCTGACAGGGTGTGGTGTGAGACACGGTACGGTGTCTGACAGTGTGATGTCTGCACATCTCTTCCTACGTTCTCAGTGAGTCAGTCACCACATGACAACGTGTGTGACACGCACAGGCACGATCGACCGTACACTAATATCCACTAACAAGTCTGCAGATGTAGATTGCTTGTTTGTTGCTGTGAGGTTTGGTGCACGTGCATGCTTTATTTCCTTCCCTTGCCTTTCTTTTCTCTCTCTCCCTTCCCTCGCTCACTTTCTCTCTTCCTCTTACTCAGCTCCTCTCTTCTTTTCCCACCCCCTTTCTTCCTTTCTCGCTCTCTCTCTCTCTCTCTTTTGTTTTATCTCTCTCTCTCTCTCTCTCTCTCTCGCTCTCTCTCGTTCGCTCTCTCTCTATCTATTGCTCTCTCGCTCTCTCGCTCTCTCTCTCTCTCTCTTTTGTTTTATCTCTCTCTCTCTCTCTCTCTCTCTCTCTCTCGCTCTCTCTCGTTCGCTCTCTCTCTATCTATTGCNATTCTATTTCTGTGGTGCATCCATCCATACATCTCTAACGCGGGCGCAGCGGCACGGCACGGCACGCGTGTGACACTGCAAGGCCCCCTGATATGCACGCGTAGGCTTTGTTAACCACAGTCAGGATCGCATGTATGTCATTGCTGCAACATCGAGGATGCGTTGATGCTGCGGTGTGGAGTCGGAAAGATAGCGTACTGTGAGAGGGGTAAGATGCAATGACGCGGTGAAAGTGACGTTGCCGTGGCGACCGGTGGGGGTTTTCGAGATCACGAGCGGGTTTTATCGTGCGATGATGTCTGGAATGTCAAGTCAGACATGTCACATGGCAGCACGATACAGGAAGATATGTTTCCGTATACAGCAGAGGTTCGAATTTTGTGAATGAACTAACAAATGAAGGGCATTTGTAACCCCATTGTAACGTCGGCAAGCGTCGTTAGTGTCTTTAATTGTAGCACGTTGTCGTTATTTTTCATGTGTATAAAGCGGGTGTGTGCGAGTGGAGGAGAAGTTACAGCAGCAGCATGTAACGCTCATCAGTCCTTGCATTCTAAATTACCTGTAGGTTGAAATGAGAACGTGCCAAAAGTGATGCAGATTTGGAAACTCGTGACGTCTTACTCGTGTGTGTGTTATCTGAGTGGAGTGGGAGACAGACAGAGAGAGAGAGAGGGCGAGAGGGAGAGAGAACGAAAGAGAGAGAGAGAGANTTCTAGTGCATTTGTGTTTGATAGCAGCAGTTGCTGTGACGCTCTGGTGACAGGCTCTCTGTTGATGTGTCAATGGGAAACTGACTGTAGACGCACGCCCATGTCGTACATTTTACGTCGACGTTTTACGGCCGACGCGATGGTTTTTAGGGGCAAGCGATAGAAGTTAGCAGTGGGTAGGGAGCAAAGAGCTAAATATATAACAAGGAGAGGAAGCGGATTGGCTGTGCGCTTTTTGCCTCGAGGGCGCCATCTATGGACCATAATCAGCTGAAACGGCTGTGCAGACCGATCCAGAGACAATAGAACACTAATCTGTTCTAGGGTTTCTGCCGATCTCAAATTTAGGCCAGATATGGCGGCGCTTCCTCTCCTTGTTATATTCAGCTCCTTGGTAGGGGGGTGCGATGAGGGTTGAGGCTGAAGGGAGGTAGTAGGGGTGTGTTTGTGGCAGCGGTGGCGGTGGTGTTAGTGACGGTGTTGGCCTATGGTTCTATACATGCACTATCGTGGCCATAGAAATAGATAGATAACCCCACAGGTGAATCTATCTATCTATCGAAGTAAAACCCTAACCCTAAACCCCCAGGTTATCTATCTATTTCTATGATCGTGGCAGTATAGCACGAAGGGTCGTTGTCGTAACAGGTACTACAGATATGTACCCGAGGTAGTTTTAGGTTGTTTAGTATTATGTTTATATTTTTATATAATTAGGAGGTAGTTTTAGGTTGTTTAGTATTATGTTTATATTTTTATATGAGGTATGTTTAGGGTTAGGGTTAGGGTTAGGGTTAGAGTTAGGGTTAAGGTTACGGTTAGGGTTAGTGTTAGGGTTAGGGTACACTTCTGTAGTACAAGTCTGGTACACTTTGTGTATACATATATGAACCTCGGGTACATATCTGTAGTACCTGTTACGACAACGACCCCTTGAGCGTACATGGTGCAGGCGTGCATACGTCATGCTAGTGTTGTTGTGTTTCATGTGTCATGTATGGTGTGGTGTTGCTGTGGGGTTTCTACCTTGACTCCTTTGCATATATACTTTGCATATACTTTGCAGTATAGGCATGGTGCGGGCGTGCATGCGTGGCGACAGCACGGATAAAAATCGCTGTAAATACATCATGGCTACGTAACACTGCACTCTTACATGTTGGCCTGTTGCATGTTGCATGTGCATGTTGCATGTTGCATGTTGCATGTGCATGTTGCATGTTGCATGTGCATGTTTGCATGTTGCACGATCACAAGTCACACTAACGTTTGAGCGATAATGCGCACGCTCCCTCCTCTGCCACCACCGCTCCCTCCTCTGCCACCACCGCTCCCTCCTCTGCCACCACCGCTCCCTCCTCCGCCGCCTCCGCTCCCTCCTCTGCCACCACCGCTCCCTCCTCCGCCGCCTCCGCTGCCTCCTCCTTCAGTCGCCGCCATTGCCGTACTAACACGTAGTTCGTTTCTCTGCCGCCAGGTGACTCTGAGTCCTCGGCCACCCTCGAAGTGGACGCCTGCGCGGTTG